TTAGGCCAAAACCCTTGTTGCCCTTGACTCCCCTCTTTTCCTTAGTCCTACCAGGCAGCTCCATCCCTAAAACAGACCCAGAGTTTGATCATTTCTTCTACCTCCAGGGCTACCATCTTGGTTCAAGCCATCATGATGATCCACCAAAATTATTGTCTCCTTACTGGTTTCTGTGTTTCTGCCCTTGCTTCCTCTATTTTAAGTGCTGTCGAGTCAATTCTGACCTATAGTGACCCTGTATAGGGTTTCTAAGAAGCAGCTGGTGAGCTTGAACCACCAACCTTGCAGTTCAAACATTAGTCTAACGCATTAGCCTACAGCACCACACCAGGACTCCTTCTATTGCCGTCTCTAATTCCAGCAACCAGGATTTGTTAAAACATAAACATCATGCGATGACTCTACAATCATGCAGAAGTCCCTACCAGGACCTACAGAGCCTCTGCTGCATGATTTGGCCTCTGCCACCTCTCCAGCATCACCTCCTCTGACTGTCCCCACACTGGCCTGCTTGTCCTCATTTCGTTTAGATCTTCCATTAAATGACACTTTCTCAGGGAGGTCTGTTATGTGTCTTCTTCCTGGACTGCAGAATAGTAATTGCTGCAGTTATTTATTTTAGTACTCACGATCTCATGAGTATACTCTGGCATGCTGTCTTAGTTTTGTAATGATAACACCCTTTCTTCCCTCCTGTCCCACTTGGTGGTGTAACTCCTCCCTGATAAAGTTGAAAGACACACAGACAATTCAGATATTCAAAGAAGAAGAAAAAATAGTTACAATAACTACAGGTGGTTGCATCTGCAGAAGAACTTAAGAGGACAAGGAATTGGTGGGAGGAAATGGGCCAGAGGACTTTGGGGATTACATGATGACTTTAAACACATTATTTTTTATTAAAAAGAGGAAAAACAGAGTTGTGGGTTGTTCTTGATCTTCCTGAAGAAATGGCGGCATCCTCAGAGGTGGTAACTACACTCTGACTGGATCCCAGGACCAGAGCAGCTGGGATTGTCTTTATTGTCTCCTTCATCCTTAATAGGACATATGTGCTTATATAACCTGTTGTCCTGAGGTGTTTCCTAAACAAAAATGAAAAGCTGCATGAGTGTCCAGTCCATCCCTGAGGCAGTGTGAGGGGAGGAAGCTGTGTGGACCTTCTCCAAGCAAGGGGGACATCCTGCTGTGTTTGTGCTCCATTGACCAACAGCCTCTTCTCACATGTGGCCCTGGCTGTATGTGTGTGTGTGTGCGTGATTTGCCAAGCTGACATTCAGTGCATTGCAGCGTGTTGCCTTCTTCATCTTGAATCCCTAGAATTCTTATTTATAAAGTGATTTTGTTTACTACTAGGCTGCATTGTGAGTAGGTGTTAAGTATTTCACAGGTCTTGTATCAGACAAAAAAAGTACTGAGCACTTTAAACATCTGGTGGCACAATGCTTAAAGTGCTCAACAGCAAAACAAAAAGGTAGCAGTCTACGGAAGCAGCTTCCCTAAAGATTGTAGCCTTAGAAACTCTGGGGGCAGTTCCACTCTGAATTGGAATTACACGACAGCAGTGGGTTTGGGTGGGTTGTATCAGACAAGGGATTACAACCACTGTATTATTCACTATATTCCAAGCCTTGCCTTGGGATAGTTTCTCAGATTTGGGTCCCCCAGAAACAAATCCTGAGACAAAATATGAAGATGTGCAGTTTATTTGGGAGGATATACCAGGAAACACCAGAAGGAAGTCAGGAAGCGGATAGAGGTAAAGATAGTCGATAAAGGGTGCATTATAGAGCAGATCTGGAGTCTCTGGGTAGTGCAAACAGCTAATACATTCGGCTGTTAATCAAAAGGTTGGCTGTTTGAGTCTACCAGAGGTGCCTGAAGAAGAAAGAAAGACTTAGAGATTTGCTTTCAAGAAGTCAGCTGTTGAAAACCCTGTGGAGCACAGTTCTCCTCTGACACCTATGAGGTTGTCAATTCAATGGTAACTGGTGTTGCGCAGGTCATCACTGTGGGCTTTTGGGCTCAATCCACTGCAGAATCCTAAGGGGCACTATAGACTCAGTGCCATATTTCAACTTCTTTTCCACCATGAGGGCTGCCTCAAATGTCATTATCTCTAAAACACTTCCCACTTGCCCTTGTAAGCTGCCAATCATATAATTTCATGGTGGAGAAAAAATAGAACACAGAGAGAGAGATGGTAAGCAGCCTTGTAGAAGTGTGTGTCCAGGTTAAGAACAACTTGTCATCAAATCGATAGTGTTCATTGGTTTGCTCCAGTATGTTCAAGGCAAATCTTGCCTTTTAAGTTTTATGTGGAAAAGTGTCACTAAAATTAATCTGAAAAGAATCTGGTTCAACTAGCACAGGAAACTCTTGACTTAGCCAGGAGAAGGCAGACCAGGCCTTCCTGGATGTATAAATCATGTAGGATCCCCAGAGAACATTCTTGATCACAACTGCCAAAATGGTAGAAATCAGAGTAGAAGTCACCATTGCTGAGAAACTAAATAAAAGGCAAAAGGAGGGAGGAGGTAAAATTGTCCAATTGTTTTGTTGCAAGAAAGTCAGAGATAATAATGTTAAGTGTCATTGAGTCAGTTTCGACTCATAGTGACCCAGTATAGGGTTTCCAAGGAGTAGCTAGCTAGTTTGAACCACCAACCTTACAATTCAAATGACCTCAAGGTCCAGTGCTTATCCTACCACACTGGGATTTCCAGGGATAATAATGGCTATTATCATATGTTGAGGAGCCCTGTTGGCAAAGAGGTTAAAGAACTCACTTGCTTACCAAAAGGTGGAGTGTTAGAACTGCTTCCATAAAAGACTTACAGCCTTGGAAACCCAGTTGGTTCTGTGTTCTACTTGGTTGGAGTTGACTCGATGGCAGTGGGTGGGTGGTACCATGTGTCAGGTGCTAATCTGGATGTGTTCTTCATAAGAACCTGATGATATGGATAGTCGTACTTTACTGATGAACCTGGAAAAGGAAATAAGTTATCAAAAGTCACACAATTAAGTGGTAACAGAATAAGAGCCCCATTTTTTAGATAAGCAATGAGACAGGTCCTGAAGGTCCAAGGATCTATCTGGACCAGCTCAAATGTTCTGCTTCTCAATCCAATGTCCTGTTCTTAATCTAGTTCCCCTCAACACTGAAAAACGACCCTTGAATCCCAAGAAAGTAATGTCTTCTGAATGATTGCTTTTAAAACAGCTCTTCAACAAAATTCAAAATCATAAAATTAGACCATGCCTTGGGGGCTCAGGACCATAGTCTCAGGTCCTAAAGACATAGTACACAAAGACAGTGTTCTACAGTCTAGTTTGGTGAGTAGTGTCTGGGATATTAAAAGCTCATGAGTGGTCATCTAAGGTGCAGCTATTGGTCTCTCCATATATGGAAGAAAGACGAGAGATTGAAGATGCTTGGGACCAACTAATCCAAAGGACTATTGGAACATGTGAACAGCAGTCTCCACTCCTCTGAGACCAAAAGAACTAGACAGTGCCCAGATCCCACTACCAACCACTCTGAAAGGGATCACATTAGAAGGTTCTAGCTAGAGCAGCAGAATGTGTGGGGGGAAACATTGAAATCATTTTTAAAAAACAACAACAAAAACTTACTGGTTAGAAAGAGACTTCAGGAGGCTGAGATGGTGGCCCTCAATCACTCTCAGCCAAGCAGTAGATAGGTATATAGGGGAACAACAACATTAGTAAGATATGCTCACTATGAACAGTCAATCATTCAAAATCAAAGGGGCAACATGTGCCTAAGGACAATGGCGAAGGGATGAGAAAGTGGATAGAAAGGAAGTAGGAGCCACAGGGAGGGAGCAGGTGACTGTTACATGGAGGGGACAGCAATCATTGAGATGAACAAAGTGTATGATTTGTTGACTATAAAACTGGTGATCTTGTCTGTAAACCTTCACTCAATTCATGACAAAAAGTAGAAAAAAAACAAAACAACAAATTTTTAGATAGATAGATAGATAGATAGATAGATAGATATAGGTATAGATATAGATATAGATAGATATAGAGAGAGACCACGCTTGGCTATGGCCCTTAGTCACCTATGAAGTCTGAAAATGAGTTCACACTCATCAATTTTTAACCAAACAATAGACAGGTGTATAAGGGGAGTAATAACTCTAGAGAGGTACACACACCTTAAAATAATCAACCATCTGAGATCAAAAGAGCAGCTTTTACCCAAGGACAAAGTCCAGAAGGGGTGAAGGAAGAAAAAGGAATGAAAACAGGAAACACGTGGAGGAAGTGGGATAAGTGTTGTTACACAGTGGGGATTACAATCAAGGAGATTAAACAAAATGTGTATGAATTGTTGAATGGAAAACTGATGTGCTCTGTAAACCTTCACCCAACTCATCATAAAAAAAGTTAAAAAATAAATAAAAGATTAACAACAACAATGAAATAAATGCAAAATAAAACGGTTGTCCAATCTTATCTCTCTCCCCAGCTTGGTGGAGCAGAGACCCTTTGCTTTTCTCTTTATATTTTGCACATTCTTTTACTTCAGAAGGCTTTCTTTGTAGTTTGCTTTTTTCTTATCCTGCCTTCAAAAGAGCAACAAATCCCAGTGCCATCGTTCAGACTTGACTTTAAAGGGGGGTTTGAAAAGCACCCTTCTTACTACAAGAAGCTGAGAATATTGAAATTTTTGGTCTCAAGTGAATCTTTTATTACTTTAAACTGAGATAAAAAAAATTTTTTAAGTATCACAGTCATTGTCACAAGCATGTTAATACATCTATTTTGTGAGAAAGTATACACTACAAGTCATGCTATTAATTTCAACAGCATTCTAGCAGAAATTATAAACATTTTCAACTGTGTCAAATATTAATTAATAGTAAATTCTACTTTGTGCCTCTAGGTCAATTAATGGTGCCTTTCAGTGAAGTGGTAGAAAATAAACGAGGGCTGCTTCAGAAAACTGCCCTTCACTCCAATGACCATCAGCCCCTTCGGTTACCACTAAACTTCTCAGCTATTTTCTGTAGTTCCAAATCCATCGCAGCCAAGTTTTCAAGTTGTCTTTGCTGGAAAATACAGAAAAGTGGAGTCGTGAGGTCCTGGATCAGTTTATTTTGCTCCAATTTGACAAAGTATGAACAGGAGGGAGAATTTTAGGTCAGTGTCACCATGAAACTTGCTAGACATAAAGATGCTTGGGCCCATCCTGTGACCATCTGAATCAGAAACAAGCCCTCATGAATCTGACACACATTCAAATTTGAAAAGCACTGACTTACACAATCAATATTAGGGGAAAACTGTTTGGGCAGGTACCGCTTTGATAATGTTACCTTCCCTAGATTTCTGATTGCCCTAGAGCACAAGCAACCCCTTTCATCCAACCTTACAGGAGCTAATAAAGACAGAACTCAAACTCATAGCTGCCCTAAAGGACAAAGTAGAAGTGTCTCAGGGTTTCCAAAGCTGTAAATCTTTACAAAAGCAGATTACCCCATCATTCTCCAGTGGAGAAGCTGGTAGGTTCAAACTATCAATCTTTTGTTTAGCAGCCAAACACTGAGTCACTGTGACATCAGAACTCCTTAAGAAAGAACAATTCATTTCTATATTACCTGTTCTCCTACCCTGGGAGATACTAATGAACCATCAAATGGCTAAGGAGGAACCACCAGAATAGTGGCTGTTAAGCTTGGCTAAACATTGGAATCACCTGGAAGCTTCTAAAATTCTGATACCCAGGCAGCATCTGGTCCCTATTAAGATAAATCTATGGTTGGATTCAAGGCATTAGTTTTGCTTTCTGCTTTTTCAAGTGCCTCAGGTGATTCCAATGTGCAGCCAGGCATGTGCAGCCAGGCTTGTGAACCTCTGCACTAGAAGAGGTGGGCAGGTATGTGAACAATGACTGAAAATGAATTCCAGAGATTATCTTTTCTCCACTGTTAGGGATACATTCTCATAATGATTTTAGTCTTCCCACTAACTTCCCCATTCATATTGGATAGTCTTGGACATCATTTATTAATATAGACCGTTTAAATTTCAAACAAATGCGAGAAACTGTACCTCTTCCTCAGTGAGAACTCTTTGGTTGGCCCTGTCCTTTTCATTTTCTGCCACTTGACGTGTACTCAGTGGTTCCTCAGAGTCATAGAAGTCTGGAAATTCAACTGCCTTCTTCCTATAGTGTAGGAGCTGGTCCAGTTCAGCCACCCTGTCATACTGCCTTTTCAGTTCCAGCTTGGGGGTCCTGGCAAGGTTTCTCTTCTCATATCCCCAGTTCACATCCTCCTCAAAGGGTTTTTTCTCCCACCAATCGTAGTTGTATTCTGGAAAGAAATTTTTCTCATTCAGGGTCAGCCCATTTTCCTCTTCATTCTCAAGAAAATTGTCATCCATGTTGTCCTTTCTGTCAAAATGGCTGCTCTTCCACTGGGTAGGATCATAGTATGGGCTGAGCAGCTCCCCTAGTCGCTTTCTCTTTTCAGCAGTGTGATGGGGAAAATAGTGTTTCTCTTGAAGGTAAGCTTCTTCCCTATTCTCTTTACTGTCTTGCAGATCCTCCTGCCCCTGCCACTTGCCTTGGACTCCATCTTCACCATTTCCCTCACCATAGCTGAGGTAATTTCTGTCCTGCTCTTTCCATTCACCCTGTGGATGTCTTCTTGCTTTGTCCATCAGAGTTTCTGGAACATGGTGGTATCCTTCTCCCAAAAACTTTTTCTCTTCTCTGGTGTCAGGAGCAGAATAGGCACTTGGATCTCCACCCCTGCCTCTGTGATAAAGTCCCTTCCCTGCTTCATGGCCTTTTACTTCCTCACTTTCCTCACTATATCTCTGTGCAATGTTGTCAAGTTCAGAGTTGGGGTGATTTCTCTTGTCCTCCTCCTCCTGGCTCTCCTCACTGTGAGGCCTTGGAACCCTATACTCTTCACTTCCTCTGCCTCCATATCTTTCCTCCTCCAGGTCTTCTGGAGTTTGGGCACCTGGGTAATTTCTCACTTCTCCATATTTGGGTTCTTCCTCTGACGCCATAAAGTGGGTTATATGGTAGTCCTTCTTTTCTCCTAAACTTGCCATGCCCATGTTTGAGTCCTCAGGTCCCCCAATGGAGTGTCTCCTTTCCTCAGAGGGAGGTTTCCCTTCTTGAGAAAACCTGTCAGACCTGCTCCGCCCATGATGGTGTTTCTGCCTCAAGCGTTTGACCACCTCAGCAGTGGCATTTTCCTCACTTTCCTCAGATTCTTCTTGGCTCCCAGGTTGGCTTTTCGACTCTTGGGAGTGTTTCTCCTGGCTCCTTTCCACCTCCTCTCTACTTGCTTGACTGCTTTCGTCTGGGCTGTGTGTCTCCTCATGACTGTTTGTCTCCTCTCTGCTGTGTGTCTCTTCCTCAGGGTGCCTTGGAGACTGTTTGTCATATCTGGCCACTAACTCCTCATTATTTTTAAGTGAAGCATGGTTTCTGTTGTTGAGAAAGGCATTTTGTGTCTCTCCTAACTCTCCAAGGTATTTCTTTTCATTATCTTCTCCATGTTCCTTTTTCTGGTATTCCTCTCTATCCTCTTCCTCCACCTTCTTGGAATGGTGTGTCTTTGTTTCTTCAGAGACTTGACTGGCAGAGGGATAAAGGCTCCCTTGAGCCTCACCTGCTTCCTCTCTGCTGTGCCCACCTCCTAATGCCCATTTCTCATTGTCTTCCTTTGTTGGGTCTTGTCTGTCTTCCTTCCCTGGGGCTACCATTTCCTCCCTACTGGAGGGTGTGTGGGCTTCTAAGGCATCCTTTGAGTCTCTTAACAATCTTACTTCAAACTTTTTGTTTTCATTTTCACTTTTCTCTTCATCTTTGACTTCTTTTCCACCTATAATGAAAATACAAAATTGGTTGTGGTTCAATAAATACTAGCTTAGGTAATCACTATAAATCCCAGAGACACTGAAATTTGCTTGGATTTTTTTTTTTTTAAGTTAATAAGAAGGATCTCTGGTAGTGTAGTTGTTACGAATTGGGCTGCGAACCTCAGAGTCAGCAGTTCAAAACTACCAACTGTTCTGCAGGAGAAAGAGGCGGCTTTCTGCTCCCATAAAGATTTACAGCCTCAGACACCCTGTACAGGGTCGCTATGATTCAGAAGTGACTCCACGGCACATAACAACAACAACAATAAGCAATATATTCAGATACCTTTGAAAAACAAGTTGTGTGAAAACTTCTTGGTTATCTAACAATAAGTTCCTTTTATTTCCATATTTTCGTAATACCCAACCAGCATCTTTCATTGGTACTGCTGGTGATTGTTAAGTGTTCTTGAGTTGATTTGATTCATAGTGACTCTGTAAAGGGTTTTCAAGGAGCAGCTGATGGGTTTGAACCACCAACCTCACAGTTAATAGTTCAGTGCTTATCCTACAGCACCATACCAGGAGTCCTTTCATTGGTACTTTCAGAGATAAAAATGAAATGCAGAGGTGGATTTATGAAATACCACAATTTAGAAACAGAGGAAACCTTAGAATTCAGCCAGTTCAAACTTCCTTTTCTTACTTGTGGGCATTGAGGTTCAAAGATGTATAATTCTAGATTATTCTTTCCATACTCTAAGTGGTAGTGGTTGTGTGCCACCAAGTGGGTTCAAACTCATAGTGACCCTGTATATGATTTCTGAGTCTGTAGATCTTTATAGGAGCAGAAAGCCTAGTCTTTCTCCTGTGGAACAACTGGTAGATTCAAACTTCTGACCTGTGGTTAGCAGCCCAGCTCATAATCCATTATGTTACCAGGGCTCCTTACTTACTCTGAGTGGTGGGTGAAAAGTTAGCTTAGGTGACTGGTTCTAACGACCATCCAGCTAAACAGATTAAGCTAGATAGTCAAAATGGGATATATATCAGGATTTACTGTGGATTTAAAAAAAAAAAAATCCGTTTTTTATTATACAATCAATGATGTAGAATCCATCTAGCAACAAGTGACAATGAAACTTAGTAAGTACCCATAAGAATGGTATAAATTTCGTCTCTGAGAAAATGGCACTGAAGTAGGAAGGACTATTTCTTCCTTCATTCGGGTCCTGTTCACCCAACAAGTTCTCAGATGTTGAGGAAAAAGGATGAACTTCAGTATTCTGAGGTATCTTTGTGCTTAATGAGACCTCAGAAGAGGTTACAACTGATATTTTAATGAAATATTTTTCTCCCCCACCTTTTCCTAAGGCTGATAGCTCTTTGCTAAATCTTACTTAGCTCCAGGGTGCCCCATGAAAGAAGATATACACTTTTTGAGTTATTAACAGGGGTGCTTGAATACTGACTTATATCACTGAGTTCCAATAGAAAGCATAAGCTCAACCTGCTTTAGGTCTCCATCTGTGCTGTCCAATGAGAAACTCAACAGTCCTTTGTGACTATCGAGCACCCGAAATCTGGCTCATGCAATTAAAGTATACAATACACACCAGATTTCAAAGACTTTATATGAAAAAACAAAACTAAGAATACCTCAGTAATTGTTAGATCAGTTACATGTTGAAATGATATTTTGAATATGTTAGGCTAAATAAAATATATTATTAAAATTATTTTCACCAGCTTTCTTTTACATCTTAAATATGGTTATGAGAAAATGTGAGATTATGTTGGTGGCTCACAATAGATTTCTAGGGAACTGTACCGATGAGACATCTTGAACTCCTTATTTGCAAAATAGAAAAAAATTGTTTCGCATAAATATCCTAGAAGTAGTGGATCGGATCGGTCTGTCCTCTCTGTATGATAACATTCTCATATCTTATAAGACAATTGGGAAGTTCTGACCTTATACACCAGACACCTGAGGGCTAGCCCATCACCAGCTTCTGTTTGGGGGAGAGCCAGTGGCTGTGCATGTAGCATTGAATGAGGCAAGCCAGAGCAGGTAGGGAGGCTGTGGACAGATCTGACGTCATTCTGAAAGTTAGCTGAAAGAGCCAATCAGATAGGATTGTGGCTTCCAGGGCCTGAGGCTAGACGGCCCATTTCCTACTACAGGTCAGCGGTTCGAAACTACCAGCTGTTCCGCGGGAGAAAGATGAGGCTTTCTACTCCCGTAAAGATTTACACCCTCGGAAACCCTATACAGGGTCGCTATGGGTCGGAACCGACTCGATGGCACATAACAACAACAACAATAGGTACATGGGGTCCTAAGTGTACAGAACAGAAGAATTTTTATTTTCCCCTGTTAACTGTTTTTGCCTTTAGCGGCTTGCGCCTTGAGGCTTAGCACTTCCTGCCAAATTTAGCTTTAAGCTTCGCCAGGTGAGCCTGGAGGAGAACCGTGATTAGCAGCACACAGTCATTGTCTATCTGTAAAAAAAGGTGTAAAGCTCACTTTTACTTTCAAGTAAAAAGGAGAAATGCACCCCCCCCCATACCTAACTCAAGTGAAAAGAGGGAAGTGGACTCTCCATCCCTGACTCTTGCATTGTAAGGATGGTTAGGCCAATCTTGGCCAAAGTTATTCTTGTACCTCTTAGAAGTTGGATTACATATTCCCTAAGGGTTGGCACTGACTTGACTGCACTTAGCAACAACAACAAGGACTAGGAGTATAAGTTATAGCGCTATAGAATCAGTCCTGGACTTTGAACCACAAGGTCAGCACTTCAAACCCACCAGCTGCTCCTTGGAAACTCTATTCAGGATCACTATTAGTCAGAACTGACTTGATGGCACTTAACAACAACAAGGTCTCTTTGGAGTCCCGCGGTGACACTGTAGGATAAGCACCGAACAGCTTATCCAAGATCAGTGGTTCAAACTCACCAGGCTGCTCCTTGGAAACCCTACACAGGGTTGCTATGAGTCAATATCAACTTGATGGCACTTACCAACAACACAGTCTCTTCAGGCCATAAACCTCTGACATTCTTCTCTACTCCCCAGATATTCATTTGCCCAGTAAGTGCCTGCTGGCTCAAGAGAGTGGGGGAGGAGATGGGATGGGGTGTGAGGAAGACCATGTGATGGAATTTATTGATCTGAGAGCTAAGACATACCAGCAGGAGTGAAAATCAGAATGGGGCAGAGGTTGAAAACTAGTGGTCCAAGGTGAGAGTTCTGTTTGAACTAAAAACACTGAAATTCAAATTCAAAGGAAATATTTAAATAGTAGAGAATGAAATTTAAAATCCAAACTTATAACTTCTTTTGAAAAAAATCAGAATAGCGAATCTGTTTTTTCACAACAGGGTTGGTGATGTTAAGTGTGGTTGAGTTGGTTCCAACTCATAGTGACCCTGTATAGGGCCTCCAAGGAGTGGCTGGTAGATTTGAATCACTGATTTTGTGGTTAGAAGTCAAGTGCTTATCTACAATGCCATGCCAAGACAATAGAGTTAGAGCTGAGAAATATCTGCCCCCTCCCAAAAGGAGCTCATGCAGTTTAGGAGTCACTTCCCATGCTGCCTCACTGATTTATTTGTCTGTTCCTGCTTGCCATTTGAGTCTGCAACCCCAGAGGGTTCTGAACCCTTAAACCCTTCCCATCGCAGCATTAGATTATTCTCTGAGTAAATCTCCAGAGTCCTTACAGATATGTGTCTTTTGCGATGTCCTTTGACCTCTATCATTGGATCATCCCTTCATTTTTCTTCAAGGAAACAGGCCCAGAAAGGCAAAGGGTATTCACTAGAGTTACCCAGCCACTGAATGGCAGAGCAGGGACTATCTCATATGCCCCCCAGTCCATTTGGAAGCAAAGTGGAAGGTAAAGTAGAGGGAGCAGGGGTAAGATTCCATGCAGGGATACAGATATGTCTTCAGTGGATATTCTTACTCTTCTTCAAGACTTGGCGGCACTCAGGGGTGATGGGTGGAGCGTTGGACTTCAACAGAGCATTCGAGAGGACCTCGATGATGCAGCGAGTCACCTGGGGGAAAACCCAAAAGCAGGTTGTCAAAAGCTGGGATCACTGGGAAGAAGATTACTCAATTCAGAGTTGCTGTCGAGGGAAACTTGACTATGTGACCTGAGCGGATGCAAAATCCTTAGAGCAGGAATACAGATGTCCAGGACAGCAACAAAGCCTCCCAGTACATGGAGAAAAAAAGGAGAAGCTTCTACATGGAACAATGCAAGAAGGCATTGGTTTAAGATTACTCTGAGAAGGGAAACAAGGTGGAAAGAAAAGGCTGTGATGACACGGTTATCCTCAAGGACACTTAAACATCCAGGAAGGCTGTGGGAACCCAGAACACAAGGGATACCCCTTCAGTCCCATGCTCCCCGGGATGAACATCTGCTTTTGTAAGCTTATTGTTATAAGGTTTCTTTTGTTTGGTTAGGGAGTGAAAGAATCTAGTGTCTAGATTCTGGAGTTATATTGCAACTTACCATTTCTTCATTGTGGTTTCTGTTATCCACTGGCACAGAACTGACAGCTTTGAAAGGGAAAAAGAATTAGAAATGGCTTGAGTTTATTTTTTAAAACAATGTGAACCCAAACTTGCAAAATAATCTGCACATTACTCAGACAAATGGGTAGTTCTGGAGCTGAGTAGAGTGAAGACCGCTGAAGAACATTGTCCCAGGGGTCAGAACATGTTGGCTCTAAACAACTGGACAGTGACTCAGAGAGTGAATGTGTGTGTGTGGACTGGAGTAGTAAGGAAAAGGGACCTTTGTGTTTATAAAAACAAACAACCTCAACTTAAAACACAGAAGAATCTTTGGGGTGATGGGAATGGTCTATACCTTAACTGGGGTATTAGTTATATAGGTCAAAACTCATAGACGTCTACTTCACTGACTGTACACTGTCCTTCAATTGAAAAGAATTTAGACTCCATACACATTTCAACATTCCACGAATTCAGTGAGAGAGGTTTATGGCCAAGGCCAAGGAAAAGATCGATACCATTCTCTCTCAGCTTCTACTCATCATTCCCTCTTCCTCCAACTCTGTGATTAGTTGTGTATTCAATCTTATTTGGACATGTATAAAATTTGGCAGTTCTACAGGTTTGCTGGTGTGGCACTGATGACCAGCACTGGACTGCAAACCACGGTGTTGACAGTTCAACCTCACCAGCTGCTCCTTGGAAACCCTAAACAGGGTCACTATGAGTCAGAACCATTCAAAGGCACTTAACAACAACAATAGGCATTACTAGGAGTATGGTATCTCTGTAGGATAAGCACTAGGCTGTTAACCACAAGATCGGTGGTTCTAGCCCACCAGCTGCTCTGCAGGAGAAAGATGAGGCTTTCTACTCCCATAAAGATTTATAGCCTCAGAAACTCTATACAGAGTCACTATGAATTGGAACAGACTTGAAGGTACTGAACAATAGCAATAATAAACTGGTATCACAAAGAATATAGTTTAGGCATTTATCTAGGTATATACTTTCATACAAGGAGCTCTGATGTGTAGTGGTTATGAATCAGGCTGCTAATCCCACGGTCAGCAGTTAGAAACTGCCAGCTGTTCTGTGAGAGAAAGATGAGGCTTTCTGCTCCTGTAAAGATTTACAGCCTCGGAAATCCTGTACAGGGTCTCTATGAGTTGGAACCAACTCCATGGCACATAACAACAACAACAACATACATTCATACATACACAGATATATTTTCCCAGAAATAAGTCTTCAAATCACCTGACTGACAAATTTGTAAAATGAAGACACTATCTTAGAAATTCTATTTTCAGGTTGCTATAGAAATTAAGTAATAGAGTAAATGAGTGTTAAAAAGACATGGTATAAGAATTGTAAAACTTCAGATAGCTGAAAGTCTTAGACATTTTCTGAAGAGTGGATGTTCTTCGTGAAACACTGATCTGATAAAAGAAAATGACATTTAGATTTAGGTCACACTAACCAAAAAATTCTCACTACTGGACCAGTAAATAACATCACAATAAATGGATAAAAGATTGAAGTTGTCAAAGACTTCATTTTGCTTGGATCCACAATCAACACTCATGCAAGCAGCAGTCAAGAAATCAAGCAATGTACTGCATAGGCAAATCAGCTGCACAAGACCTCTTTAAAGTGTTCAAGGGCGAAGATATCAATTTGAGGACAAAGGTGCACCATGGCATTTTAAATAGCCTCATAAGCATGTGAACAATGCACAATGAATGAGGATGAAGCAGATTTAATGCATGGTGTTGTTATGGTGTTGCAGAAGAATACTGAAAGTATCATGGACTTTCAGAAGAACACACAAATCTGTGTTGGAAGAAGTACAGCCAGAATGCTCCTTAGAAGCCTGGATGACAAGACTTCATCTCTCATACTTTGGACATGTTATCAGGAGGAACCAGTCCCTGGAGAAGGACATCATGCTTGGTAAAGTGGAGGGTCAGAGAAAAAGAGAAAGACTCCAGTGAGATGGATTTGCACAGTGGCAGCAGCAATGGGCTCAAGTGTAACAACTGTGAGGATGGTGCAGGACCAGGCAATGCTTCATTTTTGTTGTACTAGGGTCGCTTTGAGTCAGAATAGACTAATGGCACCAACAATGACCACAACAATCTGCACGTTAGGCAACAGTTAGGTAAAAATCATGTGGGGGAGTCTAAAGCAAAGTAGAGCAAATATTAAATTTATTGGTAAATAGGAAAAACACTTTAATATAGCCAATTTGTGGTTGGCATCCAATATAGGACATTTTGAAAGTAATTTCTTACATCAAAGAGGAAACATGGAGCTTCCATTCCTTCAGTCTGTTTATACGTGATTTGGAGTTAGACACTCTTACTTGTGGGGTTTGGTCAGTAAAGAAGTTACTGGAATCACCAAGAGTTTGTTCTATGATTAGAGCTATGGAAGAAAATAGTTATTGGATGCTTGAATTAATTATGTAAAGATTTTTAAAATGCAAATTTAAATTCCAAATAGAGAATGACATGCTATATTAAGGGATTTGAAAGTAGGCCAAATTGGGTTGAGGAAACAACACAATGCTGCTAAAATAATTCCAAAAATGATCCAGTGCTGATGGGGCTATATATAGGTCTACAAATGTCCATGAAAAAGTCAGAAAACCATTTGATTGAATGCCCTCCTCCCCAGTGTATAAATGCATTGACATGTGTGAAAATACATGTGTGTACACACATCAGATGTTCTTCCCTTGTTATTACTGTTGTTAAGTTTTGTGGAGTTGGTTCTGACTCAGAGCAACCCTGTATAACATTTCCAAGGAGCGGCTGGAGGGTTTGAACTGCCCACCTCAGGGTTAGCAGTTCAATGCTGATCCTACAGTGCCACACCAGGATTCCTAGCAATGTCTAAGCATAATTTGGAAATGAATGCTATCTTAAGTCCATTATAAATGAAATCTAGTATGTATACAAGGAAGACATCTGAGGAATTAGTAATATTCTACTTCTTGTTCTGTGGGCTGGTTACACAGGTGTGTCCATGTTACGAAAAAATCACTAATCTACATACTTATGATCTATGCAATTTCTATATGCATATTATAATTCAATAAAAGGTTTAAAACAAATCAAATCTAAGCCCTCCAAACCCTTCTCTTCTATCCACCCAAAATTGACAAAGACCTGTTGCTCCTCCCCCCAAGAAAATATCCTCCCCCAATTCACTTCCTCTACAAAAACATATAATTGTTTTATATTATATGTTAGCCATGACTATAATTGTTGAGATTGTTGCTAAGTGCTGTTGAGTCGATTCCGACCCATAGTGACCCTGTATAGGTTTTCCAAGAAGCAGCTGGTGAACTTGAACCACTGACCTTGCAGTTCAAATGACTTTGCAATCTGACGCATTAGCTAACAGCGCTACACCAGGACTCCATGACTAATACTTCATAAAGTTTGTGGAAAAAAATGGAATTAAGAGATAATGGAAATTTTCCATGAACTTTTCAAAACATCCTTATAATTAATTGGAGTTCTGGTGTGGCGCTGTAGGATAAACACTGGACCGCAATGTTGGTTTGAACCTCAAGATTGGCAGTTCAATCTTGCTCCTCAGAAACCCTACACAGGGTCGCTATGAGTCAGGACTGACTCAGTGACACTTAACAACAAACAATAACAATTAATTACCTCCCTTTTTACTCTCAAGACTTTCTCTGATCAAGCTTGTTTGTGAATCTGTACCAATGTTATATTTCCCTTCCCCCACTTTGTCTGAAATCATGTAAGGGGAGATATGGAATTCTCCTAAAGCACCACCAAGTCCATAATACCATATGAAAAGAGGCATTTAACAACTGCTGACATAAAAGGACTATACTTTAGTTATTTACATTTCATGAAATTCTGCCCACTTACAATGGGCATTTGAAATGCCTGTCTTCTGAAGAACTGCTTTAGGAGATTTTCATTTTACAGTGCAATTTTCTTTCTCTTTCAAAACTGCTTTGAGTCTTTTTCCATTTTTACTTTGTTCTGTGTAACCCTTATTCCACTAGAGAAGCTCAAAGCATTTACATATAGGTCCATCTCCACCATTCTCCTGGCATTCCCTGAGACTAGACAACAGGGATTATGGGTAGAAAAGCCCAGTGTAGAGAATTATTCTAGGTCCTTGAGACAAGAGCTAGCTGGGGAAAGAGCAAAGGTCTGGGTATCATCAAAGGAAGCTGCTCAAAATGCATGACCAGCACCTGATCTTTTCTCCCCAAATGCTTGGTCTCAAGTTTCTGCCCCAACTCCCACTAATTAATTGCATATCATAGGACACAACCTAGAAATGAAATACTTCATTTACTCATCTTACTCGATTTTCGTTTTTAAAGCATGAGTTGAGATCTATTTCAGTTGTTTCCAAAGGCCTCAAGTTATCCAGTTTGCCGAATCATTTGCAGTGTTTGAGAAGCGGCTAAAGAGCTATGAAGGCCCTGAGGGTTCTTTCTGAAATGCAGTGCAGACAAAATCCAAGTGCCACCCAAAGCCCAGTATGGTAGGCCATTCTTGTATTCCCCACAGTACTGTTATTTTGGAAGATCCTACCGTGGAACTTGCTCCTTCCAGCTGAACTCTGTAAACTCCTTTGGAAAGGAGTAACAATGAGAAAATTACTTCCCTCATGAACAAGGAAGTATGCTTTTTTTTTTAAATCCAGTTTTTCCAAACCTATTTGTAATACAGTTTTTTGTATTTTTTTATTTTTATTTTTACTGTTGTTGTAGTTGTTAGGTGCTTTTGAATAAATTCCTACATATAGGGACCCAATGCACAACAGAAGAAAACACTGCCAGGTCCTGCCCCATCCTCACAATGTTGCTATGCTTGAGTCCATTGCTGTCACTATGCCAGCCCTTCGTGTTTGAGATCTTTCTCTTTTTTGCTGATCCTCCACTTTACCAAGTATGATGTCTTTTCTGACAACATGTCCAAAGCATGAAAGACAAATTCTAGCCATCTGGCTTCTAAAGAGCATTATTGCTGGACTTATTGCTAATGCTTTTATTTTCCCCCACAAATGTAAAATAACTATCTTTTAGAGGCTTTTTTTAAATTACTGGTATTGACAAAGTAATGTTGTTGTTGTTGTGAAATGCCATTCAGTTAGTTCTAATTCATAGCAATCCTATAAACGGTTTCCTAAAAGCAGCTGCTGACCTTGAACCATGGACCTTGCAGTTCAAACCGACCAGTGCATTTTCCTGCAACACCACATCTGGACTCCAAGAAAGCAACAGCAATCATATTTGTTGAGGAGGGGGGCGAGGTGGAAAGAAAAAATTTTCTAACTCTAAACAACTCATGCTTATTATAGAACAGTCCTGTTTCTTTGACTGAGGCTCTTCACTTGTTTTTAATAGAAAGAAATTAGGCTCTGCTTGTAAAAGTACATTGTGCATCTTGTGCGACATCTAAGAGCCATTATATTGCTTTTAATAGAATCTGTGACAGAAAAGCAATAGCCAAAGGCATGCTGGCTACTGTTACAGCAGCTTATGTTATTTTTTATATAAATTAACATTCAGGAGGCACAAAAGAAAGTCTAATGATTACTTTAAAAGTGAAGTACTCAAATAATAGAACAATTTACTAGCAATGTTGTTGTTATAAGTGCTGTTGAGTCAGCTCTGACTCATTGCGACCCTGTGTAGGGTTTCCGAGGAATGGCTGCTGAATATGAACCACTGACCTTGCGGTTCAAGCTGACCTTGGGGTCGAGTGCTTATCTTATGGTGCCACACTAGGGCTCCTTATAATAAATCTAAGAATAACTTCTAAAGTATTAATTGTTGTTGTTGTTGTTAAGTGCCATCGAGTCGGGTCCGACCCATAGCGACCCTGTACAGGGTTTCCGAGGGTGTAAATCTTTACGGGAGTAGAAAGCCTCATCTTTCTCCCGCAGAGCGGCTGGTAGTTTCGAACCGCTGACCTTAAGGTTCGCAGCCCGATTCGTAACCACTACGCTACCAGAGCTCATAAACAATCAAGGTTTAGTACCAGATTGAAAATGTAGTTTTATTTTATGCTACGTATACTATAAAATTATAAAGGCAAGTAACATCTTGTGAATGCAGAAACTATCTTACCTAGTTTGATTTGGAGAGCATGTGGTTACTTCACTCAAGTAATAGAGTACAGTAACTACTTTGGATGGTTGCGACTCTCCCTCCAGAAGCTCTTAAACTAGGAAATGAACCATATGGTTTCCTGATGTTTCTTCCAGTCCTGTGATTTTGATAAATAACAAACTCTACTTGAAGAATATCATGTCTCATTGCCAGGATCTCAGGAGAGAGAGGTAGCTAGGGAATGACTGCTAAGGGATGGGATTTCTTTTGGGGATGAGGAAAATGTTCTGAAATGTGATAGTGGCGAAGGTTGCACCATCTGTGAATATACTAAAACCAATGAATTACACATTTCAAAAGGGTGAATTTTATGGTATGTAAATTATATCTTAAAATAATTGAAAAATAAGATAATTCTCTATTTTGGCTGCTATTACAATATGAAGCCTTATTAAAATATTCCCTTGCATAAGAGATCTGTAAGTATTTTACCACGATAGTTAAATAAGTCTCACAATTGTCACTGTTTTCCTGGTTTGTAGTACAATGCATAGCACAGCTTAAGCCTTATAATCAGTTTCTTTCACTTTTCTCTTAAAAGTGTTTGAACCACCAAGGATACTTAATTATTGCTTAGATTTTCTTTAATTAAAATTACATAATTTCTAGGAAGTCTGTAGGATAACAAGAATTTTAGAAATTACTGCAGTATGTAGCATGCAATAAAATAAATTACACTAGCTTTAATTTTGTATCTTTATAATTTTGATCAAATAATTGTTGCCAGTGAAAGCTTCATATTTATTCATGGATGCCAGTACCCCAGTTCTAGTTAGGAATGTCAATCTCAGATGAGAACAATTTTCTATGAGGTCACAAAATAATCTAAGAAAATGTTGTTTATTCTAATGGCATACTTACTTCTTAATACCCATATGACCTTATTATTTTCAAAAAACACACTTTTCAAATATCCAGGGATTCTTTTTTTGAGGTTGAACCTGATTTTTAAAGATTAACTCCACAATCTTCCACACACACAGAGTCAAATATCTACTACTTAAAATATTATACTCCCAAGTTCCACTAAAAAAATTCTTTTTTCTACCCCATGAATCCTTTTTTGTGGATATTTTATGTTGTAGTTAATTCCATAGACATAAAAGTAAAGATATCTAATGCAGCTTCCATTAATAACTAAAAAAAGAAAAAAGGGATACCTCTTTCCAGAAATAGAAATACAAAATAAGAAAAGCAGTATATTACACTTGTATATACAAACCTATTGTATTATGTATGATCATGTTAAGAAAAACTCTGTATCTTATATACAAGCTGGGCTTACTTTTATCTCATCATGCTTATATATAATAATAATAAAAAAGCAATTATGCAACTAGGCCTGTCTTCTGTGGTCATCTGACCATCTACAAACAAATCCTCAATTGCAGGTACAGAATCATACTATAGTCCCCTACAGATAGTATTTTGGAAGTGAACACAAAATGTGGACTTTCCTTGGAAGTGAGGGAATTTTTTTTTTTTTTTTTTTTTTTCTAGGAACATTAATTAAGAAAGGAAAAGTCTGACTCTCCTGTCTGGGCTAAGGAACCTTCTGGCTTTTTCCAAGTCATACGATGGGGCAGGGGAGGGAGTTTAAGGGGAATACCTAGGGAAGAGACAAAATGAAGAATCCCAAGTAAGAAGGGGAAACCCTCTTTCATCTTCCCTCTCTCTTAGCATCCGCCCCTAAGGATGCCAGAGCGGCAGGGCAGCCAGAGGCGGACGCTATCCATGGTGCTGAACGACCCACCGCGCCCACTCACCAGCCACCACCGCGGCTCCTAGGAGGCCAAGAAGCACCGCTGGCTGCATGGTCCCGGCTCGCCCACACCTTCGCAGAGAGAGGGTGGCGGCTGCACGGGTGAGGCAAGGTTCAGAAAGAAGGCGAGTTGGATATGCTCTGGGAAGCTAGCTGTGTGTCGCTGTCGCTGTCCCCGCGGTGTGGCTCGGTTGGCTCAGACCCCGCTCTTTTAAAGGGCAGGCGGGGGCTGCAGGGTGGGCAGCCGGGAAGCAGCGGCCCCTAGCTTAGCTCTGACGTCACGAGGAGGCCCCGGGGGCGGCACAAGAAGGCGGAAATTTACGACAGTCCAGTCGCCAGGGTGCGCAGGGTCTGGAGCGGGGGTTGGTAGGACCGCGGGCAGGGAAATGAGAAGGTTGAGGGGACGTAGGTAGAGCAGATCGAAACTGGGAAGAGAGACGCGGCTCAGATCCGCATCTCCCCCCACACGCCTCCAAATCTAAAAAGGTGCTTAAGGCTATGTGCATGTTTGTGGTTCTGGTGAAAGTGTGCATGACTAGGTCTGTTTTCTGTCCCCACTACCCAGCAGAGGAAAAGACAGGAAAAGAAAAGACGACTAACTAGTTGAGGAAAATGAACCATGATTTAAGAAATAAATGGTGCCGTCAGAGATTACAGGTTTTATATTTATCTGCTCATCCATGATTCTGTCATGACTCTCTGAATGCATAACATATACACACATGATTAAAAAATGGTATCAGTGTAAAAGGGGTTTATTATAAGTCTCACTTCCACCTCTACTGACCCCAGTTTCTCTCTTCAGAGTCAACAAGACTTGACTACTTTCTGTTAATTTAGTTTTTGTGATATGTTTATGGGCACCTTCTTTTGAATGAGCTGCACTGTATTACATTGAGTGAGCACATCAAAATTTATTTAACCAATCCCCTTCCTGATAAACACTTATTTATATTGTTACCCTTTGGCCTTTTATTACTCCTTTACAGCAAACAGAGCAATAGTCCCAGGGACTGGTAATGGCATTGGTGATCCTGACTTTTCTTGCACTGTGGGTAATAAACCTGCTTGCTAGAACTGGTGCATCCTATAAGCCCTGTGAATCCTCTCTTGCTTGAAAATTGAGATGTTGTTGTTAAGAGCCTCTGAGTCGGTTCTGAATCACAGAGACTTTGTATAGGGTTTCTGAGGAGTGACTGGTGCATTTGAACCGCCACCTGGCAGTTCAAATTGACCCTAGGGTCTAGTGTCTATCCGACAGTGCCACATCAGGACTCCTAAAATTGAGACTATTGTTATTGTGAAGTGTCGTTGAGTTGGTGCTGACTCATAGAGACCCTGTATAGGGTTTCTGAGGAGCCACTGGTGAACTTGAACCACCGACCTTGTGCTCAAACTGACTTTGCAGGCCAGTGATTTAATCCACAGCTCCACACCAGGACTCCAAAATTGAGATAGGAGAGTATTTTATTATTATGTGTTACAGAAAGGTGAAAATGGTTTCCAGAATGTTCTTTCCAGGATCCCTTCAGCCTAATGAGAAATGGAGGGAAAAGCAGCAGACAAGTGCTCTGAACAGAAAATGAAACGATCCAGAATCTTTTCTGATAACACAGGTCTTGGGGAGCACAATGAGCCTTTATTTGGGGTATCTTTCAGGAAAGGAAGATGTTTGAATACACAGCTAAAAGAGTTTTTGATTCCTTTAACTGAAAATTAATGAGGCTCATATTATTTTTGCATGGTTATGTTTTCCTGAAAAGGGCTGGGAATAATGTTTTCAAAACCACAGACACAGAATATTTACAAGAATAGTATTAAAAATGATATTAGTGGGATAACTGGGAAAATTTCAGTAAGATCTGTATATTTCAAAATCATATTGTACCAATGTTAATTACCTGATTTTGAGAATGGTATTATTATGTAAGAGACTGTCCTTGTTTTTAGGAAACACACATTGAAGCATCTACAGGTCAAGTATCATACATAAAATTTTCAAGTATTTTGGGGAAAAAGATAAGAGTTAGAATTTGAGGTGAAAAACATATGGAAATTTTTATACTTTTTACATTTTTCTGAAATCTGAAATAATTCTAAAACAAATAAAAAAGAATGTTCTTATCACAAAAGAGAGCGTTAAAACCTCTATAAAGCAATGGATTCAGAAATGTGAGATGCTGAGGAAGGGTCTTTTTTGGGTACAAATTTGTGAGAAGTTCTCATTCTACTGTTGTAAGTATAACCACATTTCAGCTTCTCTTCACAATACACTGATTGCCAATAATACTTTGAAATCTAGCTTCCTGGAGTATCCTGTTCCCAGTGCCCTCTTGCTTTCCAGTGCTTTCCCTCTATTTTTGTGTCCTTGAAAATCACAGGGTTAAATAATGTTAATGTAATCTATGGTTTCTCTGACTGGGCTTGAATTGAGTTTACTAGTCATCAAGACCAGTACTGATCTAGGAAAGATCATTCCATAGTTTTCAACTGGATTATAAAATAATAAGATCACCCTGATCTACATTCAGTTGCCACATTCAGACTTAGCTTTCTTCTATCATTATTATTTTAGAAAAAACTTACTTTGTCTTTCACATTCAAATCCTCATGTACTAGAAAGAAAGAAAGAAAACTGTAGGGAGGAATATTTCTCAGGAATTCTCTCAAAACAGGATAAAGGAGGGAAACCAACTTTTTCCTTCGGATCCTGGGTTTAGATTACACATGGTATGCGTCAGGGGTATAGTTACATTTTTTTCCAATGCCTCCACCAAATTATCCTAGAAATTTTTATTGCTGTGACTATCCTTTCCCACCTGCTTTGCAGTGTCATTTTTTGGGGAAAAAAACCTAGAGTTCATGTACATTCAGGTATGTTTCTAAATTCTCATTTCCATTCCTTTTTCTGTTTGTTTATATTTAGAGTAGTACCATACTTTCTGGAGTCTTGGTATAGCATTGTAGGATGAGCACCAGACTGTTAACCATAAGGTCATCAGTTCAAACCCATCAGCTCCTCCATGGAAATCCTCTTAGGGTCGCTATGAGTCAGAACACCACTACCACACTTTCTTTATTAGCATAGCTTTTAAAATAAGTCTTGAGAGATTGTAGAGGTCTTCTTGCCTTGGTTTTGTTGTTGTTTTTTTTTTTTTTGAGGAGAATATTGGCCATTATTTTCCTATGCATTTCCACACATATTTTAGAATCAGTTGTGAAATTCCATTTAAAAAACTTTTAGGGTTTGAATAGGAATTGCATCGAATCTATAGATCAACTTGTGGACAGCTGACATCTTTACAATTTGGGAAAGATTTAACTTTTTGATTGATGAGTATGCTTTGTATATAATCTTAAGACAAGGACTAGTTGTATTTGGCTGGACTTTGCTCCAGGTTTCAGGTCATGTTTGCAACTCCTTGGATCACTATAAAATATCAGAAAAAAAAAAGCCACTTCTCAGGAATGCTTTCATGGAAGAACATAGGAAAGCATTGGCTCAACATATCTCATTTGGGAAATAGGGCTTAGAATAAACTTTTATATTGTAATGGTCCCAGAACCAGGTTATCCATCAAGGTCCAGACAATACAATGAAAGCAATACAAGGAATTTTATACTAGAAAGATTACACAGGTATTAATTAAAAGAAAGGCCAAAAAGAGAGAACAATCTTAGGAAACACAGAGATTAGCAACTGCAGGCTGCTGCTCTACTCCTAGGTATGGAAGATTAAGGATATGTGGAATTATTGGATCATTAGGTGTGTATGTTCAGTTATAGTAGATACTGATAAAACCTTTTCTGAAGTGGATATTAACAGCTGAGATATAAATCTGGCTCTCTTGGTTTTTCTGGGACCTGACAGTTCCTCCTAGGCACAGTTCCTCCTAGGGGAAGGGGGCAGTGGGGAAAAAGGTGGCAATTCCAGGTGACCTGAGATGGATGGCTGTTGGAAGGTAGAAACAAATCATGTTTCACTCACTTCACACATTTACTTGGAGCTTGCACCTAGGGACAAAGGTTATTGCTTTATTTTACTCAGTGGTAATGCACAAAGAGCCAATGCAAAATACACGTACTGGGGGGACATTTTATTAATTTCCATGATTTCCTCTATGGCCTTTGCTTTAGTATTCATTTCTAGAATTGATAAGGGAAACTAGACCAATATGGCAGAATGAGAACAAGCTCCAATCTTCTTTTGCTCAAGGCCACAGAAATGACCAGAAAGATATTGAGATATCCCACACATGCTGAAGCAGATGATGCTGGTTCTCTGCACATTTGCTTTGTCCTTTCTATAGCACTTTGGCTTGATTTCCAACTGCCAACACCTGCATTTCTTTGCCTGATGTGTATCTCTGGCCACCAGAGTCAATTCAGTTGTGCCAACGGCAAGCCAGAAGCTCTGAGGAAGTAAGGCCCCCAGGAGCAGCCCTCAAACAATGACTGCCAGGAGTTGGTGCAGAAAGCTCCGATTTCTAGATTCCTCACCCTTTGGTGGGATCACTCTTAAGTGCACGTTTTATATCAGTTGCAAGGGTGCCCCAGTGAGAATGACCTTGAATTACCCACAGTAGACATTTTTTTTTATAGCAAGTTCTTCATGGCTGTCTTTAATTCCCTGTCTCATTTCCTCCACTTTCCTAAATTTGTTTCCTGTAATTCTATCTGGAATAAATTCCAAATCTCAAACCAACCCAATTGCTGTTAAGTCAATCATGACTCATAGTGACCCTCTAGGACAACGTAGAACTCTCGTATGGTTTCCAAAGCTATACATCTTTGAGGAGCAGGAGGAAGATGTAGCAGTCTGCTTCTACAAAAATGTCTATAGCCTTGGAAACCCTACAGAGGGCAGTTCAACTCTGTCCTAGAGGATTTGGTTTGGTTGAATCTTTATGGAAGCGGACTACCATATCCTTCTCCTGTAGAGCAGCTGGAGAGTTCAAACTGCAGAGCTTTCAGTGAGCAGTTGAGCACCACTATGCCACCAGCACTCTCTAAAATAAATTACTTGCTATCAAATCTATGTCTCAGGGTCTATTTG